TCTAAATGTGACAACAGTGTACTGTGGTCTGTCTAAACTGACTATATGGGTTGCTACAGATTAAAATAAATTTTAGGAAAAACACAATTGTTTGCTTATCAGAAACTCTTGTGCCAAATGAAGTCTATCCCATGTATTTATTACACATACTTTGATTATATGTGAGTATATAGCTACATTGTAGCCTCTGACAATTTAAAAGATCACCCTTGCAATGACCCAGGGAGAATATTTAAACTATGTAGTCTAATGGACTGCAAGACATACCTGCTCCTGCTATTGGGTAGATGTTCAAAGGCATAAATGTGGATTAGGCACCCAGTGTTTTCACTGTGAGTTGGGTGCCTACCTGCCTTTTGTATCTTTGAAAGCTTCACCCTGTGTTCTTTGTTTAATATAGTATAGGCCCCAATCTTTCATGGAGCTCTATAGTGTTTTTGAATTACCTAAACTAGCAGGCTGAGGGGAGATATGATTGCTCTCTATAAATACATCAGAGGGATAAATACCAGGGAGGGAGAGGAGTTAGGTGCCATTGTGGACATAAGAACAAATGGCTATAAACTGGACATCAACAAGTTTAGGCTCAAAATTAGGTGAAGGTTTTTAACCATCAGAGGAGTGAAGTTCTGGAACAGCCTTCCAAGGGGAGCAGTGGAGGGCAAAAAACCTAACTGGCTTCAAGACTGATCTTGATAAGATCATGGAATGGATGGTCTGATGGGACTGCTACAACTGCTAGTAGCAAATATCCCCAGCTGCTGGTGATAGGACACTAAATGGGGAGAGGTCTGAGTTACTACAGAGAATTCTTTCCCAGGTATCTGCCGGTGGGTCTTGCCCACATGCTTAGGATCTAACTGATCGCTGTATTTGGGGTTGGGAAGGAATTTTCCCCGGGATCAGATTGGCAGAGACCCTGGGGGGGTTTCGCCTTCCTCTGCAGCATGGGGCACAGGTCACTTGCAGGTTTAAACTAGTGTAAATGGTGAATTCTCTGTAACTTGAAGTCTTTAAACCATAATTTGAGGACTTCAGTAACTCAGCCAGAAGTTAGGGGTCTATTACAGAAGTGGATGGGTGAGCTTCTGTGGCCTGCAATGTTCAGGAGGTCAGATTAGATCATCATGATGGTCCTTTCTGACCTTAAAGTGTATGAGTAACATGGATCCAGAAGCATCCGAGGGGTAGCCGTGTTAGTCTGAATCTGTAAAAAGCAACAGAGGGTCCTGTGGCACCTTTGAGACTAACAGAAGTACTGGGAGCATAAGCTTTCGTGGGTAAGAACCTCACTTCTTCAGATGCAAGTAATGGAAATCTCCAGAGGCAGGTATATAT